GGGACTCGATCCCAGGACTCCAGGATCATGACCTGAGCTGAAGGCAGTCGCTTAACCAACTGAGCCACCCAGGCGCCCAAGAAGGTCATATTCTAAGTAGCTGTTGATCCCTTATGGCAAGTGAATACATTGAATTTGTTAGTTTTTTTTTTAAGTATTGAAAATTATTCTCAGAAACCCCATTACTACAATTACGGATCCCTAGCAGTTCAAGGACTTCATTAGAGGGTGATTAGCTAGAGCAGGAGTGGCAAACTTTTCCTGTAAAGGTAAAGGTAAAGAGAGTAAACGTTCTAGGCTTTGTGGACTATACAGTCTCTGTCACAACTACACAACATTGCCATTGTAGTGTGAAAGCAGGTATAGATGATACAAACTAATGAGCATGGCTGAGTTCCAATAAAATTTTATTTATGGACACTGAAATTTTAATTTCATATAATTTTCATGTGTGGCAAAATATTACTCTTCTGTCTTTTTTTTTTTTTAGCCATTAAAAATGGAAAACCCTTTCTTAATTCACGAGCTATAGGAAAACAGGTGGCAGGCAGGCTGTATGTATTCACCCGGCTGGCCACAGTTTGCCAACCCCACAGTAAAATTCTAATTTTGCCCTAGTTCTGGAATTAAGTGATTCTTATCCCCCTAAGGGTCTAGATGAGGGCCAGAGAGGAATTAAGTTTGAACTCAAACCCAGGCCTCCTGCAGCCCAGTCCCCAGCGCTTAACACTGTTTTAAGCTGCCTGCCGTGTTTAGTCATGATTTCACATGTGGTCTTTGTATCCATGTGGTGCAGAAAATAGACGTGTGGTCAGCGGCCCTTTCCAGGCGTTGACCATCTAAGGGTTGTCCTCTTATTAGCAGCCAGTGGCAACCTTATTTTGTCAAGGCTGACCGTAGGCTTACGGCACTGTTTTCGTTTATACCTCTCTCGGGTTGCACGGGCCCGGGAGGCCCATCTGTCCCTTACTATTTGAGTCCCTGTTGTCTCATTGGCAGCTTTCTGAGCAGCTGCAAAATGTTTTTAACTTGAAGTGGAAGTTGGGGTCACTGGCATCATCAGGCCTGAACAGTCACTCTCAGCAAGGGCTCTCTCAGCTGCCATTGACTAGCTTACGGACTCGGGTGAGTGTTAAACTAACTCCTCCCATTTTCCCATGGCTGGACTTTCACTGTTGGTAATAATAAGGCATTTCTCAAGGGCTGGGGAATAATGTGCACACTGCTTTTTTTGTGTTGTCTTCGGAAACTGCTTGGTTGCCTAGGACCACAATCCTCTCTCTGCCTGGTCGTCCTTCTTTGCGGTTCATCTGCTCGGGTAGCCTCGAAACCGCAGCTCGGCGACAGGGGTCCCCACGGGGACCAGAGGTGCTCAAGCGCGCTCAGGTGGCGGCGGCACCGCCGCCCACCTCGGAGGACCATGCTGCGAGGCAAGTCTCGGCTCAACGTAGAGTGGCTGGGCTACTCGCCCGGCCTGCTCCTCGAGCGCAGACAGCTCTTGACAGGGCGCTCGCCTCGGAACCCTGGCCGGTAAGTCACGTGAGCGCCGGCGCGGGCGCAGCTAAACGTCACCAAGGCGCGCCGCACTTGCGCATTGCGTCCCGCCGCCCGGCATTGGCCGGTACTTCCGGCGCGGCACGCCTCTACCGGTCGCCTGCCGAGTGGACGGAGTGCGGTACCAGAGCCCAGCCCGCCTCCCAGCACCTGCTGCGGGCGCAGCAACACCATGGAGCGCCTTGATAAAGCGGCACTGAATGCGCTGCAGCCGCCCGACTTCAGGTAGTCCCGAGCGGGGCCCAGGCCGGCTAGGGGTCCTGATCGCAAGACGATCTGGCCCTGGCCTGGAGTGGGGTGTAAAGGAAGGCCCGAGCCGAGCGGGCTGGCTTGCAGTGGGCGTGAGGTCTGGACCCTCAGGGCCGGGCTGCGGGGTGGGGGAGAAGGGAGGTAGGCTCGGGTCTGCAGCTTCTACACGCTCGGGAGCAGGGCCCTGGGGTCATAGGGGAGACGTCGGCGGGCCTTCAGCTCATGCTTCTGTTCTAGCACTTCCTCTCGCTGTCGTCTGTTTTGCGATCTTGCTCTCTGCAATCTCCCCACTGCAGGGTGAGCTCCCTGAGGACAGAAACCCGGCCTTCTCCATCTACGTGTCCCCTACGGGGCCTGCATCGTCGGGGCTTAAATGTTTGCTGTATCAATGAACGAAGGGAAGAGAGTAGGGGCTGCCCCTGGTTTGAGACTACTTCACTTGGAGGAGTTAGTAGGATGGGGGTTGGTGGCTGAGTAGAATGGTTGTTCTGGCCCACTAGCCTAGCCAGTGATACCTCGGTACGCAAGAGGGTGGGGAGGGATTTAGCTGCCATTGGATGATGACTTGCTGTGTGTCATACTCAACGTAGGCTCTTTATTACATACTTCAGCAAAATTAAGAAAGTGTTATTCCCCCCCTTTATTTTTTTTAAAGAAGATGAAGTTAGGATAAGTGACTTGCCCAAGATCACACAGTTAGGTCACACAATTAGAAAGTGTTGAAGCTGGCCTTTGACCAATCCCACTGATTTCGAAAGCCCATGATCTTTGGAGCCCCGTCACCCTTTTCTCTCTCTTATGATGTCAATGTAGATGTTTTTTTAAATTATTGTTTATTAGTGAGACTACCAAGAGATAATTTTGTCAAATACACTTAGAATACAGTGTAGCCCTCCTAGACTGATTCTAGTGTTTCCTAATGGAATTTACATTGAAATCTACTTGCAGTGGAAGCCTTGCCGCAGAAGGGAACTTGGTAAGCTGTATCTGCCTAGTGCTTGCTTTGGAAGTTCATATCAAGTGGGTAAACTCTAGGTGGTTTTAAGAGTCGGGGAACAGTAAGGTTCATCCTGAGTTCTTTGTGTGAGGCCCACTTTAATTCTGGACTTTCCCATTCTTTATTTCTAACAAGTCTTTGTAACACCCAATGAGAGATACATAGAAAAAATCAGTTGAATGACATCAGTTGCTTTGTTTTAGAATAATTCACCTGTTACACCCAAGCTGGCTTGTGCCAGCAGAACTGCCAGCTGCGGTGGGGTTGTGGCTGGAAGCCAGAGAGAAAATGTCCTGTAAACACTAGAGGAAGTTTGCTAGTTTTCAAAAGTTTATGTGCTTAACTTTATACTTAGTCCCATATTTGTGAGGTCAGAACCCAGAATAAAAGTCAAATTTTGGGGGCTTAAGGTAAAAGAAGTGAAAAAGAGTTGAAACTATGAATTGCTAAGGTGAGCCCATGCCTGACATAGAGTGTGTGGGGCTAGAAATTTACATGTAGAAAAGAAAAGATTATGTTTGAGTGGTGGGATTGTAAATGCTTTTGTTCGCCTTACCACATTTTTATATGGTATTATATCATCTTTTCAATAATGTTTTCTGAAAGCCAGGTCAGATATTAGATATTCAAGAGAGATGATCTGAAGAACAAAAGAACCAGTTAACACTCCCTTTCTCTAGATTCTCAAGCTTTGTTTCTTTATCAGGTTAGCTATCTTAATTTTGCATGCCTAAAACGCATACTTGAACTCACCATAGAAATACCCAGAAGGTCATATTTTTTGTTGGGATTCATGAAAGAAGTGGTCAAATACTGACATTGAATTTTTATGGACCTACTGTAGAACTACTCATATTCTTCATGAAAATTACCCAATACATTTCCCTAAAAGTTTACTAATAGGAAACAGTTTAAGGGAGCATAACTATATTAGATGAGGATTGTGTAGCTAGCTCAGTGATCGTTGTAGGAGGATGTGTTAAAAGATGATCCGCTGAAGTAGGAAAAGAAAATATTAGAACTTCTACATGAATTTATTTTAACCTTATCCTTTTTAGTATCTAGTTTTGCATATGTTTTATATTTTAAGGAATGAATTGATAATATGTGTGTAGATGACCTGTTCAAAAAAAACAGTATTCCTATATATGGGGTTTGTGCTCAAAACTTATATTTAAGATGAGTTAATAGTCAGAAAAGTTTGTAGACCATTGTTTATAAACCATAAACTTAAGATGTTCCCTTCCTTTCTGAGCTGCCAGAAACCTCCTCGCCAATCATTTACACAGTTATAAGGACCCCTTTGCCTGGATTTTCTAGGTCTCCAGAGAAATGTGCAGGACTATATAGGAAGCAAGCTGGCACATTAAGTGCTGTAATAACAGGTATGAGCTAAGTGTGATTGCATCCCAGAGCAATGAATCATTTCAGCTGGAGTGATCAGGAAAGGTGCCTAGGAGAGAGGCTCTTTTGAGGGGGACCTTGAAGGCTGGGCTTTCTCCTTCCTAAAGATATGGACAAAAACTGGAGCCTCTGAGGATTACCAGAAAGAGAATTAATTAAGTTCAAGTGTTGACAATAAGCATAAAGTGTGAGGTGTGTTAAGGTAGTCTGAGGATGGTTAGATTTAAGAGACAAAAAGGACCTTAAGCTAAATGATTAAAGTTATAGGGTTTACTGCGTTTACAATGTAGGTGGTGTTATGAGGTACAGATGTGTCCAGGATTGCTGGAAACCTGTGGCTTCACTTTCAGTAGTGCTGCTCATTTGTAGCAATGTGTAGGACAAATGTTGACATATATCCACTTACGGAAAAGTCAGTGAAACAATATTAAGGAACATTTTGAAAATGGGGAAATAACTTTATTTTTGTATATTAATCTGGAGTCCTTTTTTATGTGCACACATTTTTAACATAATTGGAATAGTATATGTCAGGAGTTGGTGAAGTTTTTCTCTAAAGGACCAGCTAGTAAATATTTTAGGCTTTGAGGGCCGTATAGTTTGGCACCACTACTCAGCTTGTCCTTTGTAGCTCCAAAGCCACCTTAGATGATACATAAACAAATTGGGTGTGTCTGTGTTCCAGTTAAACGTTATTTATAGAACTAGGTATTGGGCCCTTAGGCCTTATTTTGCAGACCCCTGATATACATAATACGATGTAGTTTGCCTTGTTCATTTGTCACATGAGGACTTTCTGCGTGATGGTCAAAATTCTTTTTAATGGGTCCATATATTGATATACATCAATTGTGAAAACATTTTCTTACTGTGGATATTTTTATTGTATCCAGTTTCGTTTGTGCTTTTATGTTAATCTTTTTTTATGTTAATCTTTGTATTAATGTTTTTAAGCAGCAGATTATCAGACTTGTTTTTCTTCAAGTATATAATTTGAAAAGCTTGATTGCATTCTTCAGAATGGTTTTATTGTATTCTGGAACAAAACTTTCTCCACTGGAATATTTCCTTGATTTTAAAATAACCTCTGGACAAATAGAGTTCACTAATAGAAGGTGTTTTGACGTTCAATTTTTAATGCATGTTACATGAAGACCATCTAAGTTGTACTATAGCTATTTAATTACAAAGAAATTTAGTTTCCTTCAGCTGCATCCAAATTGTTCTAGACTGCTTTTTCTCGGAGATTCTCATACCTTGTTTGTGGTGTATCCAGCTAGCCCTTGATAGGATGCTTTGTGAAGGAACATCATTAGTTGTTTACTACCTCCATTATAAATTCTGTAATTAGGGTACACTTGGCGTAGCACTTCGGAGACTACAAACCACTTTCATACTTTGACGCGTCCTCACACTGGATCTGAGTGACAGTCTCTTGGGTGTTCTGTAGGTCTTTAGGATCTTCTAATTTTGAGTCCCTGTCTCTACTCTTCTTCCTCTGGCCACTGCTTCTAAGGCAGGGGCAGGGTTTCCACCATCTTCTCTGTGGACACAAAACCAGTTTGAAATGGCTGTGCAGGTTCTGATTTTCTCTTTGTTTACTTTCTTCCAGAAATGAAAGTTCATTAGCATCTACCCTGAAGACGCTCCTGTTCTTCACAGCTCTAATGATCACTGTACCTATTGGGTTATATTTCACGACTAAATCTTATGTTTTTGAAGGTAATCCTCGATGATGATAAAACAAGACATTTTCCCCCTTAGTATATTTAAGATTCCATGTGTTTATGATCTCTTTGTATCTGTAAGCTGGGTATTCTTAATTTGCTTCTTCCATCTATTTCTGTTTTGCTTTTCAAAAATCATGTTCAAATGAATCTTCCTTCATGAAATTAACTTGTTCATCATTGAGTTATTTTAGCATGACAGTATTTGTTGATGGTTTTCTGTGAAATAGCTGGCAAGTCCTTTCTTTTACGATACCTCTGACAGCAAGAGGTGGCTGACATGGGAGGAGGAATTTGGGGCAATGTACCTTTGGTGGCAGACATTAGTAGAAAAAGAAAATAAAGTCCCCCTTTTTATGTCGAAGTCCGTAAATGAAGTGATAATTAAGTTTTCACTCAGAATAATGTTCTTTGTGTATAGAAGGTATTCAGATCTTTAAATGAATACTTGATTTATCACCACCCAAAGCATTACTTTTTAATTGCCTGACTAGTTAAATAAATATATAGCTAATAAAAAGCAGTATGCTTTGTTTTTTGCACTTTGATAAATTTTGGAATAAAATGGAAACTTTTTTTCTCTTGATAGGCGCCTTTGGGATGTCCAATAGGGACAGCTATTTTTATGCTGCTATTGTTGCGGTGGTCGCCGTCCACGTGGTGTTGGCCCTCTTTGTTTATGTGGCCTGGAATGAAGGCTCACGACAGTGGCGTGAAGGCAAACAGGATTAAATTGAACATCACCTTTTGATAGCATTAAATTGATTTTTAAAAGTGGTAAATGTGTCTGGGATATTGATGATTTCAATAAAGTTGAGAACATGTTAAAATCAATCTGAAGGAGTCACATTTGACTAGTGTAAATTTTGATCCTTCTAATACAATGATTTGTATCATCAGTTTTAACTGTATGAGCCTCTTATTTGCAAATGAGCATTTGGAAAAGTTAAGTTGGTCACAAATAAGTATGTTAACTTAGTTACACATTCTGGGAAGAATTTGATTTTCTCACAACCAAAAATGTTTTACAGCATTTTGTCTTTTGGTTGGTTTTAAGGTTTACTTGTCTGGATATGTTAAGATGTACACAGTGAAGGAAATCTAAACTATTTTTCACTGGAACGCTTTCCTTACTATTATGAAAGTCCTGGGTCATTGGATTTTAGGTTGTAAATTCCTATGCAAAATTGCTTGAATTATGGATTTTGGACTTCATCTGAATGTCACTGAGAAATTTTGCCTAAAGTGTAATCCCTCGTCAATAGGAATCTTTTTCATTACATTATTTCATGGGAAGACTAGGCTGAAGCATACCCATTCGTGTAAAAGGACTGGTTTATTGAAGGATCTAGGTAGCAAAGCAAAGAGGTAGCTACCTGGGCATTCAGCCTTTGCAGGCTACCCTGTGCTTTTAGGCTAGCTTTTTAATGATCTCCTTTGCTCTGTCATTGAACAATGAAGTAATGCTTTCATTACAGGGTTTGTGTAAACTCCCTTTCAGTTTGTTTTTCCTACTTTTTAATAGTTATATGATAGGAATTTACATTTAAATGTGTCCGTTTTCACATATTTCCTGAAAGTTGATTATCTTTATCATTCAGGAAGTATTCTTGGGATTGCTAGTCAAGTTTTTTAAATCAGAGCTGTTATATCCTTTTTAAATCAGAGCTGTTATATATAGTTACATAATCCTGAGGTCCTATTTGATAGAAAAAGACCCTGTGGTTTTAGTTCAGTATCCTTAGTCTGTTCTTTCCAGCTACTTGGTACTACTTGTGTGCAGTCTAAAAGCACACCTGGAAAAATGCATATTGAAACAGGAAGAGAATTTAAATTCCCTGTGATGTTGCCACCTAGAGATAAACACTCTTTTGGTTTATATCCCATGTGCATTTCCTAATGCTAGTTCAATACACTGAACATTTGGTTTAAGTTCAAATTCTGCTTGTGTTACCTCACAGCTGTTTGCATTTTTTTTTTCCAGATGAATCATTATTGGCCATTTTATTGAAAAAGCACATTCTACCTTTACTCTTTTTTATAGATAGATATCTCATTCCAATTTCCTGTTACTGGTAATTCCTAATACAGTGGCCCTTGCTGTTTTTGCCATAACTGATTTGTCTGTTCACCCCTATTTTTGTTGTGCAGCTGGACTAAAGGAATAGGGAGATGGTTAGGCATAAAAGCTAAGTAGGCATTTGTGTTAATTGTTGAGAAAAAATGAAAGATGACTATTGTAGGACTATTATTTTTGCTTATAGTTAAATAATCATCTACAGTTTAAATGTCTTTAAGCAGTTATTCTAAATGTAAAGTGTTTTCTTAAAGACTACAGTTTTAGTATAAAATTGTACAAATTTAATATAAAATTGTAGAATACCCCAGTTTAAGTCTGGGGTACTATGTGGTAGATTTCTAAATGGTCCCTTTAGATGCCTTGTTATACTTAGAATTTTTGTCCACCTAATTTCTTTTCTATAATGCCAAGGTTTTGTACTTTTGAGGTCTCATGTTGTTTGTAAAATATGAATGTCCAATGTTAGATTATTTTGTTTGATTTCAGATGTTTGCTGAGTAGAAAATGATATGGGTGTTTTTCTGCAAGTATTTAAACCAGGGATTCATGCAAAAGCAGTTGTAATTTCCTCTTGGAAAAAGTACCAAGTGTTTGAAAGTTAGAATTGGATGCTAGGGTTGATATTTAGGATTGTTAAAATACAGGCTTGTTTTCAAACCAGTTAATTTTTTCCTGGAGTTTTAACTGTTAACTCACTACTTTGCTGCTGTTGAAATGACACACGGTATTTGACCTACAGATTTATTTTTCAAGATGTCTCACTGATTTCCTGTTGCACGATGTACATACTTCAGGATGTATAGAAAGGAAAGCTACAATTGAGCCCTTATATGTGTTTTAAGATAGGAATATGTTCACTATTGTTTGAAAATGGATTGTTAAGAATAACCTCAATTAGGAAGCGTAAACTTGAAGTGTCAGTGTGAGCTACTGATAAACACATTACCTTCCTCACCTCACCTCCCATTTTGCACCTTCCCCCGCCAGAATATAATCTTCCCTGTTGTGCTAGAAAATGAAGTGTGTTGTAGAATGCATCTCATGTTATTAGCTCTTCAAGTGGATAGATACTGTTGTACGTGTAACAGCAGAATTCAGTTTTGAGTTGTTACTGAAGGAACTTAAACATCTTTTAAAAAGACCTCCTGTTTCATGGAAATCTAACATATACATTGTAATAATTAGGCTATTTTCATCATAAAAATCTCATCACCTTTGCCAAAAGAGGCAGCTGATTGACTTGTTTGATATTTATCTGCCATTTTCATGTAAATTTTATATATACAGCTAGAGTACCCAAGGAGACCAGTAAAAACAGTTAAGGTGTACCCAAGGAAAGATGATAACCAAAGCCACATGAAACAAATATCTAGTGTGTATTTCTCATCTCTAGACAAGTTGATGTTTATTGTTTTATTTATGAACAAGTGAAGTCGTAGACCATTGTTGGTTCAACAATGGCACAGAATTTGTCACTTGTCTGAGGTCAGCAGCAGATTTTCTCTGCTGTCAAGCGATGGGTGTCCTCCGACAGAGTAGTACAACTTTATTAGTTAGGCTCTACTCTTATATTTAAGATAAGTTTTGCGAGAGCTGGGCTGAAGCCACACATTGATAACTTGACAAGATTTCTTTTTTCTTTTTGCAGAAGGGAAAGGGTCACCTGAGAAATTATTTTCAGGGACTTTGGGAATCTAACAATAACTATTACATGTAATTTATGAATAGTAAAATCCTTTATATATTCATTAAAATAGTCTGGAATTCCCCAATTTACCATCACTCCTGGCCACACTTTCCTTTCCTGTTTGATTGCTTCACGTTCTTGAGAGTAGTATCTGCATTCCTTTTAAGGTATTCTATCAGTCATATTTGTCAGTTACACGGACTAGTCTTCCTTTTTCTCCAGTTCGGTGAAATCTCACTGGACAGTAATAATAGCAATAGCTAACAACATCTGCACAGCACCTTACAGTTTGCAAAGAACGTTCACATTCTTGTTTGAGTTTGGCCTAGTGAACCTGTTACGAGGTATCTCTTGACATCCTTGCTGAAGATGTTAGAATCTTTAACTCAGTAGAGTCATTGAGTATGCTGTAGTCTTTGAATACTGCCCTGACTAGGGGCGGGGATTAGATGCGCTATTTTGAAAGCTGTGTGTAATTATCGAAATGGGGGGCTTGAGTTCTTTAGCCACTTGAATCAGATTTACTTTTGTAAGTGATACTTTTCTAACTGTTAACCTGGATGGATTTTGTATCCATTATATTCTAGCCTGTAATTTGTATAAATTTACCATCTGTTGTCATTAAAAAAGTGTTCGTAATGTGACTTCGATGTGTCCTGATTCAGTAAATAGTAAGTTTATCAACATCTTTGTTTTTTTTAACACTTATTTGCCTGTATTTATACCATATAAAATATATAGAGTTGTCAAGGGTAAGTTTTTATGCAATAATTGTAGACCAGAGGTGCTCAAACTGGTGGGGGCTCCGAGGGGTACTGAGACAGGAAGAGCTGGTTATATCCCATCTGTGGTGGACCCATTAGAAGTGGTGTGGCAGTGAGGAAAGAAAGCAGCATCTTGTCCTGTGGTTTTTTAAAGAACATTCATTTGGGAGTGAATGGGCTTCAAATACTGCTAAAGGAGTAATACTTGTGGCTAAGTAATTAAGTATGGGGGTAGTCAATTCCTTGCCCTGTCCAGCACGCCACCCCCTTGTGCCAGTTGCCTTTGTCTGTGGCCGTCTAGCCACCTTTTGATTGTACTCCAGCTCCTTTCTGTGCTTCTAAGGGCTCTAGCTAGTTCTTAAAAAATACTATCCACCTATAAAAAAGATTTGAGGCATCTTAGTATCAAGATATACAGATTATGTACAATTGTATTTACATAAAAAGGTACAGATTATAAGATGTTCAGGGAACTCTGGACACAGGTAATGGCATTGCAGAAACCACTGGAATCACCTTATAGGATTTCCTGCCCACACCTACTGAGTCTGAGCCTCTGGGGGTGGGGTCTGGAATGCAAATACTTGTCTGTAACAGGCCATATCTGATGAAGCCAGTTTGAGAACTGCTGTTAGAGAATGGGAATTGGTAATGTATGTTTTTAATGCTGGACTTGAAGACTTTCTATAAAGCAGGCCTGAAATAGGTACTTTATTAAGCAAAGGTAGAGTCCTGCACAATGCTATGTATTGAAGGCTCAGCTTAAAATCGGGAGAGCTTTCTTGGCTACCCAACCATCATGTTGACTTTGCTGCAGTGTTAAGGAATTCTATGAAAACTGGTACAGGGACAGCCCTCTTAGAAACAGCTAAGGCATACTGAGAAATGGCTGCTGCTGTTCTGCTGATGCCTTCCTCTTATTTGGAAATCTTACTGTTGGCCTTGAAGAGAAGGGAAAAGCTAGCACAGGCATTTAGAGAATCTGGTTTCAAAAGCAAAGGAACTAATGGAGAAGACTGGAAATGGTTTCCTAGGCATATCTGCTCTATGAATAGTATGACGCCCCGCCCCCAAATACTTTTCCTGTCACTGCTTCCATCTTCCCGCTTCATTTCCTGTACACCCTGTTGTTTTGCCCATGCTCCCACCTCACAGCTTTATACTGGCTGTTCCCTCTGCCCAGGACCCTCTCCCCCAGATCCTCCCAGGGCTGGCTCTTTCTCACCCTTTAGGTCTCAGCTCTCATGTTGCCTCTCAGAAAGGCCTCCCCCGTCCCTCTCACAACACCTAATATTGGATGAAATTATCCTGTTTGTTGACCTGCCTCCACTATACCATGTGCTTCAGTATGCCACTGAATCCCCAGTGCCTCACACTTATTTAGTATGGATGTTCTTGACCAACTGGAAGTACCAGAAACCACAGTTCAAACTGGCTTAAA